AGTTTTGCATAATTTTCCAGTCATGTTTAAAAAGCTAAACTCCAGTATTTGTTTTCTTTTAAGTAAACAGCACAATCCAATTCTATAGTGGGTCACCTATGGTCTTTATATAGAAGAAAGGGGTGCCCAGCATGTTTCCCCGGGGTCTTTGTAAAACACTCTCCCCTTTTCTCTGCCATCCAACCCTGTAGGATGGGTGTCTGGTTCAGCCCTTCCACCTCCCCAGCCGCTCCACGACAGCCCGAGGCCCTTCCTCTCCAGGATCCTGCTATCACCGGTCAAGTGATTATGAATTAGAAAAAGGTGACAGTAGGTCAGGGTAAACATCTGGCTGAGCAAGGAAGCAGCCATTGTCCAAGAATGTCATCGCGGCCGCATGCAAGCGACATGCCCCAGGTCGTGCCCCGCCACCCCGAGCGCGACCGGGCTCTCCGCGCCGACACCCACCTCCGGCCAGGAAGGAGCGCAGCCAATAGAAGTCTCGGCGGGCAGCGGACCCACCGGCTCCTGCCGCCGGCGGCATCGCGGGAGGGGGGTCGGCCGCTGCCAGGGCCGCCGCCGCCGCTGCCGCCATCAGGACCAGAGTCGCGTCGGGAGCTTTAGTTGCTGATTTACAAACCAAGGGCCGGAGCCGTGGCCATCGCAGGCCGTGACAGGGCACCCACCGCCGCGCGGGCCGGGCGGAGTAACACCCGGCGGCGCGGCGCCGGCTGATGGCGTACAGCAGGGGCGGGGCCGGGCCGAGGCCCCGAGCGCGAGTCTCCGGGCCCGTCGTCGCCCCGCATGCCTGTTCCAGGCTTCGCTTTCAAGCCCCCACCGTTCACAGCCGGGAAGCCAAGGTCCAGCGTGAAGGTCCCTGTAAAACCCACCAACTCAGAAAGGTCTTCCCGGNAAAAACATAAAATAAGAATGTGCGATTGTAAAAAAATCTAAATGACAAATCCCTCTATTAAAAGCCAAAGATTCTCAAATTGTTAGGAGGTCATATTTAACCATATGCTTTTTACAAAAATCTCACCTAAAATAAAACAGAGAAAGATAAACAGATGAAAAATGGATGTTGAATGTTTTCAAATTGGCTGAGACAATTGTATTGTATTTTGGGTTTTTTTCGTCAACCTATATAGTCTACTATTTTTACTTTGGAAATGAATTGAGATTTTTTGTTTTAATAATTTTTTAATTTTTCAATTACAATTGACATACATTATATTACTTTCACATGTACAACATAGTGATCAGACATTTATATAACTTATGAAGTAATCACCCCAATATCTAATACCCATCTGACACCATACATAGTTATTACAGCGCTTTTCTTTCGGACATAACACTCGACCAGTTTTTGCAAATGTTACAAAACTGTTTGGAAAGAATATATATTCTCTGTAGAGTGCAAAGTCCCCTGTGCATCTGCTATATATCAAGCTTATTTAAATCCTTCTTTGTATCTTTACTTACTTTATCAAACTAGGATTAGAAGGAACTAACATTTGGTAAAATATAAGCATATGCTTGTGTATGTATACGTTAGCTCTGAAAGGAAATGAAAGAAACTTGTAAAAATGTTTGATTCCAAAGAGGGAATAACTGAGGGAGAAACGTTTGCTTTTGTACTTTTTGAATTATAAGCTTGTGAAAATAGCATATGTTCAAAAATTAAAAATAAAATGTAAAAGCAACAAAGTTAAAAGTAAAGACTTTTAAAGAATCCTATTATTTATCTACCTATTTTTATATCACATTTGAGTGTATAAAGCTAAATGGAGGTAAAAGATTTGTAATATATTACAGGGGAAAAAAAATTTTTTTTAAAGATATTATTGGGGAATTGCAGGGAGGGGAACAGACAGGTAGACAAATTGCTGTTTTGTTCTCCCGTCTAGTTGTGGAGGATGTAGCCCCACTGGCCCATGTTGGTACCATCACTGCGCTCTTCCCAGGTGAGGCAATCGGTTGCCGATCATTGGTCTACTGCTCACAGCGGCTCCAGGTAGCTCACACGGGCTATCAGCCGCTCATGCTGGCTGCCAGCCACCCACGCAGCTCATGGCAGCCCACTGCAGCCCAGCTCCAGGTCGAGCTGCCGCTCATCATCCGTAGAGGGCGAGCGTCACT